AACTTTTAATATTATTTTAAAGATTAAAAAATGTCCGATGAATGGAGGAAGAATATTTGCTTTCTATTTTTAAGAATAAAGGTGATGTACAAGAGTGTGAAAATGATAGAGGCATTAAGTTGATTTATCATACATTAAAATTATGGGAGAGAGTAATTAAACATAGGTTAAGACGTGGTATAAAGATTTCAAATATTCAGTCTGGATTTATGCAAAACAAGTCTATTATGGAAGTTATACATTTATTGAGCGGTTTGATGAGAAGTACACAGAGAATAAGGGTGATCCACATATGATTTTTATTAATTTAGAAATGCTTATGATAAGGTTCAAAGAGAAGGTCATTGGAGAGTTCTAGAAAAGTAAGTTGTTTATATGATTTATATCCAAGTCAATAAAAATATGTACACTAAAGTTGTTACTTGTGTTTGAACAAAAGGATGATTGACTAAGTATTTTCTTATTCAAGTTGGATTACAACAGGGATTAGCTTTGAGCCCATATATTTTTTGTATTGTTATTGATGCTCTTACTGGATATTTTGAAGACAACAATGAAATAAGATTGTCTTTTGGGAACTTTTTAGAGTGAAGTTTAAAGGGATGGATTGAATGCATTAATTTTTTATGCGGACTAGGTTATGGTTTCAATGATATCAGAAATTGTTTGTAAAATGTTTCGGGGTTTGTAATTAGCTGTTGTGGTGTAAAGAATGAAGTGGAACAACAAGTTTTAGTTGAGGGTTTCAGAAATGATGGGTTTTTTCCCTCATATGGAGTGAAAGGAACTTGGGGAGAAGTTCTGGAACATGGAAAAAATATTACATCAGGAGTCCTGATGAAGTTTCATGTGCAGATGCTAGTATTTAAGTGTTATCAGGTAGTACTGCGGCGTTATTTTGATTTTACCAAAATAATGCTGCAGTACTACCTGAATACTACCATCTGTACCTAATTCAGATCTAAGTCATCCCGATGTAATACTTTTTTTCTAGAACATTAGAGGGGTTATGAAATATCAAAACAACAATGCAAATGAAGGTAAAAAGAAAAAAAAATTAAAGGAAAGTAAAAAGATAAGGACCAATTCTCACCAAAGGATTGAGGTTGAATTGATCATCAAATGAAGCTCCAAGGAATTAGCCACCAAAACTTCTTCAAAGAAGATAAATACTTCTCTAATTAAATTTCATTCTAGAAGAAATTAACTCATTGCAACAGCTTCTAACATTGTCTTACATTCTTCTTAACTTATCAGTAAAAAATAATTAAGAAGGCAACATCAGCAATGGTACTTTTAATACTTTTAATATTTCAAGAGACTATTTTGCAAACTTGCACGCATAATCAGCTTTGCATGATTAACCTATTAATTCAACCTCACATAATTATGTAAACATAATTTTAAATTAAGGGGAAATTCAGATACAAACCACTAGGGCGGTAAAAGAGCTGAGCTTGAGCTTGACTCGTGTTCTGCTTTTTCAAAATTATGGCTCTTTCAAAATTACTCGAGTTTGAAATTGGCTCGTGTTCAAAATTGGCTGGTGAACAGTGTCTTTGTGTTCGGCTCAAAATTGACTCGTTAAAATTATTTGAAAAAAATAGATGTAGAGTGTTAGATTCAAACATAGAGCAAATCTATGCAAAAGAAAACACAAAACTACATTACCACACAAGCTATTATGATTTAAACTTAGATATAAATATATATAATATATTATTATATAAATAATCATATGATTTTTATTTATTTGGAGCTAAAATGAGTCAAACAAGAGCTAACAAAGAGTTGTTCGTGTTCGGCTCAATTATAATTCGAGCTTAAAAAAATTGTTCGTATTTGACTCATTTTCTTAACGAACAAGCAGAACACTAGCAGTTTGCGAACAACGAGCATTTTGGACAGCCCTACATATCACCTAATTTCTATATATTTACATGTCTAATATCTAAACTTATATTTTTACTCAAAATTTTCATATCACATAAAAAAAAAATAACACTATTTTAACTCTTAAAAAGTGAAATATATTTTCCACTAATTTAAATTTAGAAATATGTACGTGCTGATGTTGCAGAGGTGCATACAGTATGTAATGCACTATTAAAATTAAGTGAGCCAAGTGGGAGAATGTTATATTTTTATTTATGACTCACATTTATTTTAATAACTTATGAGATTTATTTTTGATAACTTAAGTTATTAATTTTCATAACTCATAACTTATGTCATAAATTATGACAACTTATGATATTTATTTTGATAACTTAAGTTATTTATTTTCTTAACTCATAACTTATGTCATAATTTATGATAACTTATGATATTTATTTTTGTAACTCTATAACCCCTAAAATAAATAAATGTTACTAACTTATGTCATTGATTTTATTAATAAAAATCAATTAATTTATTAATTATCATAAATCCTATTGGTTAGTAACCCCCTTGATGGATGGTGGATAAATAGAGCATGAATTTGAGAATGAGTCCTCTCTCTACCTAACACACCTCGTACATTTCTCTCCATCAGAAAGTACAGAAAGTTTTAAGGGATTAGAGAGAGAAACTTCATCTCTTCAAGATCAAATTTGTTCATCATGAATACAGGTATGCGTCGCTTTATTTTTACATATGTAAAAATCATGAATTTAAAAGAACTTGACTATTATGTACTTTTCTTTTGAAATTTGTGTATAAAGTTGAAACATGAATTTTCTAACACATACTTCTAGCATTATTCACATCACCTGACGAATCTTTTGATGTCTTTCTATAGAGTCGGCTAGAAGTTTCCTTATGGCTTCACTCACGGGAGTGTACCTCCTGGATGACGTTTTCCACCTCGTGTTCCTTTATGCATCTTAGGAATGTTGAAGTAATTGATCTTTGTAAGAGCTTTATTTCGATCATGGGATATTGTGCGTCTTTGATCTTGAACCTCCTAGGGTCGGCAGAGTCTTTTGAAAATTTTCCAATTTCGAGGTATTGGATGTAAGTATCCATCCAACTATTTAGTCTTCTAGTCTTCAATTCCATGGTCTCTAGTACTTCAATGGTTGATCGTGTCGGTTTTTTGAGTGTCCCCTGCCCCAAATAGATCCACTTGGATAGGAGGTTGGCTATTTGCTTCTCCTCCCGGACAATATGCTTGACTTTAAAACTTTCAAACTTTTCGATCTTCATTTTTGTTTTGTTCAAGTATCGGACCATCATGTCGTCCCTCACTTAAAGTCAGATCATGTATTGTGATCTTGCATTGATTCAAGAATATCTTTTGTCATCAGGATTGGTGGAAGCGATGTTGCAATAATTCCATAATATTTATTGTCAGGAATAGTTTCAACTAATGAACAAAATATTCCAAATCATATGTTATGATGCAGCCAACATCTTGAAATTCTAACAATTGAATTAACATGAACAATTTTGTTTTGAAGCTCTAAATCTTACTAGATGAAATGCATGAAAACATGCACAACTCCTTTGAATTAAATTCTAAAATGAGAACACTCTTGGGGAAAACTTCCTAGTTGTGACGAAAAAATATTATGTCCCGAGTCCGGACGTAAGTTGCATCTGAACAACGGCTGCGATCAGCCGAAAGGAGCAGAAGAGAAAAAAACAACCTCCGGTGGATCACAGTGGTTACCTGGATGCAGCTTGCGTCTAGACTCCGGACGTAATATTTTTTCGTCTGTGAAGCCATTCTTTGTTTGCATCGATCGTTTTCTAGTTTCTTATATATATAATCACATATGCTATCTTATCGAGCAATTATAAAATATTTAGTTTTCTAAAGACCAATGAAATAAAAGTTATGGACAGTTCTGTGGAAACTGCGTAGCACTTTCCCGCCTAGATGTTCATGTGGCGGCACCGAAAAACACGAATATATTAATTATTTTGTGAGCTTTTCTAAAAAAGAAATGATGGGTGGGCTCCACTTATGAACTAAATAATTACAACTCAGGGCCTGCAAATTTTTTTTAAGGGGCAATTACATAGTGGTAACCTAAAACTTGTTATTTACAAATAAATCCTTCTCTTTTATCCAAATTTTCAAATTCTCATTAAAATTTCAAAATTCATGATAAAACCTCAACCCATATCATTCCTTTTTACCATCTTCTCAATGGTCTGATCATGACACCTATAAATATATCGATTTCGTAGTTCAACAAAATCACATGGATGATTAATTTGTAGATATTAATGTTTCCGGGGGTCAATGTGCAAATATTTCTTTTTTGAATGAAAAATATTAATTTATTTGGTGGCTTAAAACTCCTCATTTTAACTCAGTGTTTGAATTTAGCTCAAATAAGGTTAAATAGGATTCATCAATCCAATAAATTCTGCGATGGATATGGAGTTCGTCGGATTCCGATTTATTAAATCCAGATTTATGTCATAAGAAAGACAACACGAGAAAAAGTAACCACACTTGAAAAAGTTCAATTTAACAGTGAGTTGGAATTAACTTTTATTTTTTGATTGTTTGACGCATTTAAGTTAAATATGTAATAACAAAATTCTAATAATATGTTATCAAATACCGCCTAAATACAATATAACAAGAACTCGAGCAACTAAATTAGTTGATACCTAACAATTCGTTAGCTATTTACTAATATTCACCTTGAATATTTACCATCGATATTACACATTTATTCGCGATATGGTGATTAAAAATATAATCTCCCATCAATAAAATTATGGGTTTAAATTACTAATATTAAAATTATGACTTCAAATCACGAAAAAGTATCTCGTTCGGACGTCTGGACGGTCAATCAACGACTGGCATATCCGCCGTCAATAAAGCGTATGATGATATGACGCCCGAACTTGTGGTGTCTGGACGGAATATTTTCTCTCAAATCACGAAAATTAGCATTTTTTGTCTCCTGAAAAAAAAAATTAATAAAATAAAAAATTACCGTGAATAAATTCGCGGCTTATTCCGTTATATTCTTTGTCACCACTCACGCAATTGAAATTTGGCGAGTGATACAAAGAGGTAGAAAGAGGGCAAAGAGGAGAGGAAGACGGAAAGTGCTCTTAGCTTTCTTTCTCCGTCTCTCGCTGTCTGACAGTGTCTAGGGCTCGTTCTCTCTGGTGCGGAGGGGAAGAACAATGGACGCCTTGGCCCGCTCGGCGGATGCTGAAATGGCGGAAGCGGGCAGCCGCCGGGGCTGGAGAGCATCCAGGCCACGCTCAGCTATGGCGGTCGGTTCATCCAGTACAACATCTTCGGAAACGTTTTCGAAGTTACGTCTAAGTATAAGCCCCCCATCATGCCAATCGGGAAGGGAGCATACGGGATTGTCTGGTGCAATTTTTGTATATATTTTTTTTTTTTGCATTGAGATGCTTGTTCTCAAGTTTTGATTTGATGATTTTGGTTGTTTTGTTGGTTCAGCTCGGCTTTTAATTCAGAGACAGGGGAGCAGGTAGCGATTAAGAAGATTGCTAATGCTTTTGATAATAAGATTGATGCGAAGAGGACGCTGCGGGAGATTAAGCTGCTACGGCATATGGATCATGAAAACGTGAGTTGATATTTCTTGTGTTTTCCTTAATTGCGAGAATGTGCCGCTTGAAAGCTCGTTTTGGATTATGCGGTTCAAATTTGATTTTAGTCTGACGAAGCTGTTGGGTTTCGTGTGGCTTTGCGAAGAAATTATCTATTTATTTGAACAAAGGTTTTTGAGTGTCGGGGTTTACTCCTATAGTTTAGAAGATTGAGCGGCATGGAAGCGTATCCTGCCAAATTCAATTCAACTGACAGAAATTTGTCTGCAAAGAGTGTTTATGGAAAGGGGAGACTGTTGCTGACCCATCTTGTACTGTTGTCAAAATCATTTTCAACTTGAAATCTTTATATCTATGGACCTAATATTTCTGTGTCAACGTATTTTGAACTATTTTAAGGTGTAACCAAATTCAATACTTTCATGTGCATTATTAATATTTATGTCATGCATGTGCGCATCACTTCAACCATCAATCCCCTTTGAAGAAAAATGTTCTAATATCATCAAATATCATGTATCAATAGCCCAATCAACCCCGTGGATTTGTCATGAGATTCACCTATTCTTGAATTTTGCTCTATCAAGATAGAAGGGCAGCCAACAGCCATTAGAGCCAACACAAACCACGAGAATCATTTGTTCTCATTCGAAACTTCATTTGTACACCACTTGTGAAGCGAAATGGAGTCAACATTAGTTGAATTTGCCAGAGTTGTGAACAGCGAATTTGTAGTAAATTGAATGACGTAGAAGCATAGTTTTAAATCAATCAAATTTGATGAGAGTTTAGAGAGATAGGTTTGAAACCCTAAGAGGGCATTAGAAGGGGTTCAAGTGCGAGAGTTTGGGAATTAGGTGAGAGGAGAAAAAAAAATTGAGAGGGGAGGAGAAAGTATGGAGAGGCTGATAAATCCAATGCAATTTTGGTTTCTTATCTCTAAAATCCCCACGACCTTCTTTTTTCCTAGAACATGATTTTAGATTATTGTAATAAATTTCACGATAAAAGCAAATTTATGGAATTATCCAACTAGAAGATAGGGCCTAGCTTAAATAAATACAAATGATGGAATACCTTGAAAATTGTTTACTAGATACTAATTCTCTTGCTTTTGGATGCAGTAAAATGTCAAGCTTAATTAATTCTTTGTACTTGGCCCATGAGACCTGTACTGCATTAAGCGCTCTAGAGTTTGAGGAGGTCATCTCTGGAAACTTTTAGCTAAGGTAATCATCTAGTAGATGCTGTGTTACTTATCTTAGGTTGTCATGTTCAATGGAAGAATCATCTTTAGACAGCTTATCTCTCCAACTTGTCAAATATGCATGGTAACTTGTCGTCATTTTGAATGCCTCCACTTGCTCTGAAGTATCAACATGTGAAGGCAGCTTTGTAGGAATATCAATTGGATTTGATGCAGTGGAGGCTCCACCTATAGAATTAATCTGAAATTATAAACGACTCTAGGCATTAGATTTTCTATGCTAAAAACACAACTAATAGGCATTTTAGGAGGCAATTTCATGCTAATCCTTTAATATCAGTATTTCTGGAAATTTGAAGTGGCTAATGAACTTTTTAATGGAGTTTTATATAGGTGCACTGTGGAAACCAACCTTAACCAGAACATATATGAACAAAAATTTCATCACTAAATTCAAGTTTTTCTCTTATCTAAATCCACTATTATTTTCAGTTTTAGATTGATTTTAGCTTGAGCATGCACAGAGGCATTGGAATGCAACAACAACAACAACAACAAGCCCTTATTCCACCAAGTGGGGCTGGCTACATAAATCCTTTTTCTCCATTGTGTCATATGCAAGGTCTTCTTTTCATTTAATTCTAATAAATTAAGATAATTTTTTATAGAACATGCCTAGGTCCTTTTAGGTCTACCTCTAATTTTCTTAGCATAAGTCAAATATAATACATCTACTCTCCTAATTGGGTTATCAGATGGTCAACATTTAATGTGATCAAATCATCTAAAAGGCGACTCTCTAATCTTGTCTGCCACTAGAGCTACTCCAACACTTTCACAGATATATTCGTTTTGCATTTTGTCTCTTGTTATAAAGTCACTCATCCACCTAAGCATCCTCATCTCAACAACACTTAACAAAATTTTTACATGCCAACATTTTGCGCCATAATGCATTGTAGGTCTCACCATCATCTTATAAAATTTTTCTTTATCTTTAAGCAGTAATTTTCTACCATACAATAGGCTCGATGTATTTCTCCACTTCAACCATCCAACTTGAATTCTACTAATAACATCTCTATTTGTATCTTTTTCACTTTGAACAATATACCCGAGATATCTAAAAGTTTACTCCTTTTAATGAATTGATCACCCATTGTTACAATCCCACCACTAAATTTATTACTACTAAAATTACATTCAATATATTCATTTTTTTAAATATAATAAGATGAAAGCCTTTTAACCCTTAAAGGGTGGCTCTATAATTAAAGATTTTTCTGAACTCACTCTCCACAAGAAGGATCACTAGCAAAAAGCATACATTAAGTTATCCTTCTGTAAATGTCCAGTAAGAACATCCATAACTAAAAAAAATAGGCATGGGCTTAAAGTTGATTTTTGATGTAATATAATTGAAATCGGAAAATACTTGATCAATCCTCCTTGTGTTCGAACACAAGTAATAACTCTAGTATATATATCTTTAATGACTTAAATATAACCAATATCAACATCTTTCTTTTTTAGAACTCTCAAAGTACTTCTCTTGAACCTTATCATAAGCTTTTTTATAACACAATTTTTTATATTTTATTCTTTTCTTGTAAATTATTATTCACCACCAACTATTTTTATTTATAAATTTTTTTTTTTAATTCTCCAAGTACATTTTTTATCACTTGTTTAATTGCTTGTTACTTTATCTCACATAGAATCCGCTTTTACTTGTAACAATAATTTTATGTGTCTTTTAGGTGCCCCCATTTAATTTTATGTCAATGTTTTCTTGTATTCTTTATCTTACAATTTTTCATCTTAAAATCTAGAACTAATAATTGATGTTAAGTACTTAAATTTTCACTTGGAACAACTTTATAATTTGTACACTCTCGATGATTTCTTTTTTCTCATAAGAAAACAATCAATTTGTGTTTTATTATTTCCATTCTCATAAGTAATTATATGGTTATCTCTTTTATTAAATAAAGTATTAGCAATAACAAAATCATGCATTAAAGCAAAATTTAATTTATTTCTAGCTTCTTCCTCAATTACTCCAAAATCGTAATCGCCATAAATATTTCTAAAATCTTCCACTACTCTATAAACATGCTCATTTAAATCTCCTCCTATAAAAATTCTTTGTTCAAGGGCTATCATTTATATTAATTCTTCTAAGTCATTCCATATTTTTTTCTTAACTATATTTAAAATGGTATTTCGTAGATCCAAGGAAATGATATGCTCGGGTCAAATTAATCAGCTCTAATAGCTAATGTTGATAGAGAAAAAAGTGCTTTTGTACCAATTTTTGCAATAGGATTTTTAAAATGTTAATTGAATTTGACGGAGTTACAGAACTTGCCGAGCACCCAGAATTGTTGAAAGAACAATGCAATTATTGAGTAAGAGTAAAAATTGCGTATGACATTCCCTGTTTTTGGTGGTACCATCGAATCATATTTGAAAGAAACTAGTAAGACGGAAGCAATCAAAATGATGCTAGAACAACTTTTTAAACAAGATTTTGAGAGTTTACTATCAGTCTTATTTGATCCTTTCCAATCGTATGCAACTTCTTTTGGAATAAGCTAGTGGTTTTTACGGATCCTAGAAGAGATGCACGGCAAAGGCTGTCCTATGCTGCTATTTCAGCTATATCAAAGCTGCTCTGTATTATCCTGTAGAGAGAAGACTGAGCTGTTCTTTATGAAAACCTTTATTTTTGAACTTGGGATTAATCAAATATGGATGTTTTTGAAGGATTTTCCATTACCATTTCCTATGGAACTTGTTAGCTTATTTGATTGAAATTTAAAAATCTCTGGTTGGAAATTTAAATGGGTTGAATTACACTTCATATTTGGATAAATGATATAACTTCGCATATATTATGCTGTTAGTTATCTTACAATATTGTTACGATTCACACCTTTCAATTATGTCCTTCAAACAATGCATATAATCTGACTCCTGTGCATGTGTAAGAATGTATAATCACTTATTTTTTGTTTTCTTATGCATGCTAGAATTGATCTATGTGTTTACTAGATGTGCATATGCATCTCTCTCTCTCTCTCTCTCTCTCTCTCTCTCATCACAACACATGTTCCTTGTGACAGTTATTTGCTATATCCCAGCATTTGTTTCAACCATATTGATAATTGTTACTTTTTGATGATAGAGCTTCCTCTGTGAGATCCCAATTTAGGAGAGCATTTTTGACAACCAGTTAGAGCAATGACCAATCCAAATTCACAACAAGGGAAAGTAGGACCCGAATAATGTTTAATTTAGCAACCGAGCAAATATCTCCTCATAATAAACTCCATATGTTTGTGAGTAGCCTTTGACAACTAATCGTGCCTTATTGGACTCAAAGGATCCATCAAAGTTAAATTTGGTGCTAAAAATCTAGCGACACCCCACTGCTTTCTTATCTATAGGAAGATCCACAACATTCTATATATGATGTCGTTGAAGGGCATTCATATCATTCATTACTGCAGCTTTCTAGGATGAGTCAGTTAATGCTGCTTCAATAGTGGATAGGAGGTGATGATCCATCAAGACAGTAACAAACGCTTTGTAGGTCGGCGATACACTATGAAAAGAGACATATTTTTCCATGGAATAAAGAGAGCTTCCCCGATTACATACCCAATAGGAAAATTCACTTTCTCATTTGGAGTGGTGTTAGTCCTGGTAATGTCGCTCTGAGTGGATTCTAGATTTTGTAAAGAGGTAGCGGGCTCTTGCGTGGGAACATGAGTGCGTCGAGTATAGACACAGAGGATGAGAGGAGGTTTTGGTTGTTTGTTAGATGGATCTAGAGGGACAAAGAGCTCCTCAGATATATTGGTCGGAGAAATCTCCACAGGGGTCGGATAAGGAATAGTTTCCAAGAAATCAAGCTCCCCTTCACTTGAGGCAGTGACAAGTAAGTAGGGAACACTTTCAAAAAGGAGACATCAACACTTACATAGAGTTTATATGTGGTAGGACCAAGGCACCGATAGCCTTTTTTAGTGACAGAATATCTGAGGAAGACACATTTTATAGACCTGGGATCATGCTTACTATGATTAGAGGTAGTGTTCCGGACAAATGTCACTCACCCAAAAATTTGGGATAAAAGAGTAGTGAAGAACCGATTGGTAGGGAAACATGACATCAAGATGACTAATGGAGTTGTGAAGTTATGAATTTTTGTGAAGATTTTATTAATGAGATATGTGACAGTAAGCACGACATCATTCCAAAACCATTTTGGGACATTAGATTGAAACATAATGGAGTGAGCTACTTCGAGAAAGTGTCGGTTTTTTCTCTTAGCTACTCCATTTTGTTACTTGTTCGTACACAAACTATGATGAAGGATGACTTTACCAAGAACTCACCTAGATTTAAAAAAAATTACTGTCATTGTCATTTTGAAGAACTTGAATTGAAATTTTGAATTGGGTTAAAATGAAGGAGTGAAAGTTTTTTAAGTTTTGTATGCTGGTTTCCCATGGAGTTTCCAACACTCTTCTCTAGTATGGCTGGGTTTGTGACAGTATCACAAATGGACCCAGTGGCTCGGAGAGGATTTGATGAGTGTTCAATATTATTAGTGGCCAAGGCAGACGATTCGACCGAATTCAAAGTGCTGAGCATGACAATTCTCTGACTCTATTTGCGTTGAATTTATGTGAATGCAGCATGAGCGAAAGGAAGGGACCAACGATACGGCCCGGGACTTTGTCAATTTTTGTTAAGACCTGCAAGAGATTGGAACATGTGATTTTTACTATTTTCTGAAAAAAGGAAAGATTTGTCGAAGATTCTCACGTGTAGTTATAATAGAGATCACATGCCACCATAAGGCCACTAAATCATTGTAGTACTGGTTCACCGTCCTCGATCCCTTTTTCGGCTTGCTGATCTTCTTGGAAATCTCATAAAGTTGGTTGGGGTTTCTTACATGTGAGTGGGTGTCTCGAACTGCTGTCCATAGGGCACTAGTAGAAGGAAGAAAAATATGCGAATGGCCAATCACAGTCTTCATTGAGTTAATCAGCCACGACATGACCATGAAATTCTCCACTCTCCACGCTTCATACATTGGATCAATTTTAGGAGGTTCACGAATCATTCCCATGAGTTGGTTGAATTTCCAGCATCCCTTGACGAACAAAGACACAACTTGAGACCATTAGAGAAAATTGGATCCATTTAGTTTATGGTTGGTGATTAGGAAGTTCAGGTGGTTTCCGGTCCTTCGGTCTGTGGAGGAATTGAGATAGTTGTCGACTCTCTGGTTGACTCAAGTACACCATCAGAAGAAAGCTCGGTGGTGGAAGAATCCGTCATGATTCCAACTGATCCAAATGTGATGTTGGGTTCCCGAGGCATAGGAAGATCCTGAAGGCTAGACACAGGAAGGACCTAGCAGCTTGGGAAGAGTCCTAGAAACACCAGCCAAGGAAAAACAGGCCAGCTGGAGAAAGGTCAAACCGGTTGAAGGGATCTCTGTCTGCTGGATACTACCGCCAGTAAGACAAGCAAGTGTCAACGACTGGATCTGGCGGCTGGAGGTTTGTTGTTTGGCTGGCGGCAGGGTAGAAGAGCTAAGACCAGCAGGTGGCAGGTGGCTGGTGGCTAGGGCTGAATCTGGTGTCAGGAAAGACAATAGAAAGAAACTGTTGTTTGACCGACGATAGCCGACGGTTATGATAGAAGCTCTTAGGGTTAGAACCATGGCTCTGATATCATGTTAACTTTTGAGGACAGAGCTTCATACTTTCATTGATAAAAAAAGCAGTATAAATACATTTTACAAGACCCAAAAAGGAAAGAAATAAATTCAAAAATAGAGTAACTAGGTAATACATAGTTATGGAAACGGAAAATAAAGGAAGCAAATAAAATCTAACAATAACTGCAACATAAATTAACCTAATAATAAGGCTAATAATTCTAATAATAAGTTCTTATTCCATTTCTTTCCATGTTCTCATTCTTTATAGCTTGTGTGTTAGGCTCCTTTTCCTGGGGTTCGCTTTCTTGTTTCTTACATAAAGTAGACCTTGTTTATTTAAATTATATTCTACATATATTCCCTAATTTTTCTAGTGTATACAATCTAGGTCTTATTTATTGTGCACCCATTTCATTCTTTGCAGGTTGTTGCAATCAGGGATATAATACCACCTCCCAAGAGGGAATCATTTAATGATGTATACATTGCATATGAGATTATGGACACTGATCTCCATCAGATAATTCGCTCAAATCAAAATCTGTCTGAGGAACACTGCCAGGTTATGAATCATTATCTAAGAATGTTTTTTTTCCTTTTTTTGTTATTATTTTCAACATTACCAATTTCTTATTAATATGAAAGATTTTTTTGATATACAGTAAATGCTTTTTTGCGTAGTCTGAAACCATCACACCAAGGAGTGTGGTAACTATCATTTAGTCATCCGTGGTAGCATTAATACTTTTTTTCTTTCTATATTTTATCATTTCATATTCATAAACATGTGATATCTAATAAGTACTTATTTGCAGCGTTTTACAAGATGTATGTTTACCATAATAATCTTTTTCTACTACTATTTTTGTGGCCATAAGTGTTGTTAAGTAGTACCTTTTGAGAGTTAGTGAAACGACATGACTTTTATGTCTAACTTGTGTAATATTTGTTTTTTAATGAATGGAATTGTGTATGCTATAAATTCATTTACCATACGGCACACTGTATTTTATAGTCTTTTCAAAAGTGAGTGGGCTATCTGCTGGTCAATTTTGCCTTGATTTTTTTTTCCATTTACTGCAGAGTAAATAAAAATAAAAAAAAGAAATAAAGGAAAATTCACGCTACATGATGATGATAGATTATTTTGGTTATTATGGTTGCGTGCTCATGATATTTTACTTATGCTAATATTGTATATATATTGGCTTGTGGAGGCCTTCGATTGCAAGAGAGATTAACTTTTTCTCCTTCGGAAGGAAAATGACCTTTCTCCTCCTAGTTCTTTTTTCTTCTATCTCATATAATATTATAGTGTTTGAAACTTAATACTACATTGTTAATTTTCATGTATAGCATGAATGAATTATGGATTAGGAAACATGTATTAATGGAAAGCTTTTCCTTTTTATTGCACATCTTACTACCAAATTGTCGTTTTACTGACGATTTGTAATTTAGCTAAAAATAATATGCTCAAATTGGCCAAGTTTAACTAATAATTTTACAATTAATTAATATGAGTAATTAAGGGACCATTTGGGATCACTTTTATTTTTTCTTTTCTATTTTTATTTTTTATTTTGTTTTATTAATGTTTTGATTTGAAATAAATAATGTTTGATATGATTGATTAAGATATGATTGTTTTTTAAAGAACTCAATACCCAAAAGTTGTCTTTAGTGTTTTCATAAACATGTTTATTTATTTTTTGAAACAAAAATTAAAAAAAATATATCTTAAAAGAACATTAAAAAACTTGTTTTTAAAAACAAATGAAAATATAAAAACAAAAATCAAAATTGATCCCAGACAAGCCTAAGATAGTTAGAGATAAAGTAGGCAATTAGTTTTGTGAACTAGTCTATTGAGTCATAAATTGATTGATTAATAAATTAATTAAATAAATTTTGGATAAATTGGCCTAAAATATCATCATGATTAGTGTCTTTTTTAATTGAAAAAATGGATAAGTTAATATATAATTATTTGAATAATAAATTATTAGGATCTTTCATACATCATCATAAAATTTAACATCAAATTAATTAGTTATTAATTAATAATTTCAATGTTGAATTAGTTTAATTAAATAATTATGAATTAAATAAACCAATTTATATATTGTCATGAAATAATTAATTAAATAATATAAGTAATCTGATATGCTACTTATTTTAGGGCATTAATTGGCTAGATTGATTGTATTGATTAACTATTTAGGATGATTGTTTATTGATGAATACATTATAAAAGTTTATTCTAAATTTCTTTTATTAATTACTAGAAAATAGTTTATCATATGTATTAATTGATGATTATAATGTCAATAGTTTTACATAAAATTTATAATAATGTTCATTTTAGTTGTTCAGCAAACATGCATTAGTGCCACTGTAGTTTTGATCAAATATTTTAACTCTGGCAAGTAGACTGATCTGATATTTTAACTTTGACAAGTAGATAGGAGAATGAATTTATTAGTGTCTTTACAATCATTAGCTTTACTTGAGAATAAAGCACCATACAACTAGATATGTACAACATAATACAAGAAAATATGATGCAGGACCATTTAGTAGAACCAATGACTCGTGCATAATCAATTGTAGACTTATGGAAGATTTGATAGCTACCTATCTTATTTATACTCTTATGTCATTCCTGATACCCTAGTGTGTAATTATGCCCCTAGGAATTTGAACACATGCACTATTACCAAATTGATGCAAGTCTATTTAGAATAAATAACTACTCCAATTGCTGAAGCTAATGGAAAAGGCAGAACTGAGGTTTTATACCAAAAGGACTAGTAGCCCCCACTTTGAATTTTGTTTTTTTTTTAAATGGAAAATGCTTCCCAGTCTTCCCAAAATTTTCTGTCCTTTATACCCACCTGGCCTTTAGCCCCCCATTGTTGTTTGGTTCTAAAAACCAGGATTGCTGTTTTTTTTTCCCTCTCTTTTTACAGTAGGTGGTGACATTCCTTCAGGTAACCAAACATATCTAAACTACTAGATGCAAAATGTCTTGGGAAGGAGTAGCATTTAGCTATTATTTTCTTCTCTTTTTGCCAATATTACATTTTGATTTACAGGATATCTATTAACTTTCAATGTGTTTTATAGAAAGTGATTCAGTAGCCGTAACTGATACATTTGCTTGATCTGTCACTTCTATTTTTACACATTTCTTTTATTTTCTATTTTTTTTTTTTGGTGGTTTCACCTTTTTGCTTATTATATTCTTTCTTCTTGAATTTGGTTGCCAATTTCAAGAGTTATTCTTGCTTTTCAGTAGAGATCGGGAGGTGGCTGGGAGCTGGTATTCTTAATTCTTAAAAATTGTGTGCTCTTTGTTTTTGAGCAGAAATAACAATTAAGGATGTTCCATTGGAGAAGAATCTATCTCCTTTCATCTAGCTTCATCTTTTCTATCAGTTTTCTTACCATTGAGCTGGTATTAAAGCTTTAAGTTATTGTGTTGGAGCAGTTGGTCATGGCGACACATAAAGTTCTCACCATTTAAGCGTCGTGGGGATTTGTTATTACAATCGAGTAGCAGATTGATTCCCTCTTATTATATGTGTAAATTATCTTCAATATTTTTAATGGGAGAGCTGCTACTATTGAGCTATAACAAGAGTAGACCCTTCTTGAATGCGATCACCAGTGATTGTCGCGGGGCATTCATTGAGTGTCCTCAGAGTAACTTCAACCCAACAATGATATTGGCATGATGGGTTGCTTAATATTCCACTAGTTTAGGCTTCCATAAATTCTCTTGGCACCTCTCCAGTTCCAAAGATCTAAAATAATAAAAAAAAAAATTATGAGGAAATAGAGGCGGGGACTTCTAATTGTGTTATGCTCTCCATACTAAACAACATTCACACCGTTTAACATTCAAGCTAAATTACAAGTCCCAACTTAATGACATTAACTCTTTCCTACCCACTGCATTGTGCTTAAAAAAGTTTGTAATGTGATTGTGTATAGCGTAAGATGTAAACATAAAGTTTTCAAGGCTTTTAATCCATGCACTCAATTTATAGAAGGAAGCTCACTCATGCCCGTACAAAATTGGTGAATCAAAAAGGGTAGTGAAACAAAAGTGAACATTGTCCATTGCGTGCTGCTTTTCATTAAAAAACTCTACTAGAATAAAATTTTATGTGATTTTGTTGATAAGGATGCATGTCACATCTTTGGCCAACCTTGGCAATTTGCACAGATGTTATTCATTGAGGAAAGGAAAGGGAAATGGGCATGCTTTGTGGTGGTGGGAAAAGAAAATTCTATTCTATCTACTTGGTTTGTTGAAAAAAATACTGTAGTGTAAAAATAATATAATTTATTTGTAATATTTTGAAATTGTTTGGTTCGGCGTAAAACAAATACAGGACTTCATATTTTCTTATTTGGTTTGAAGAAAAACAAAATCAATATAAAATATGTGGCGGGCAGCGGGCTTTAGGTTGCATGTGGCAGCTGACAGGCGATGAAGGCTGACTAAGGTGAGAAAGCTTTACACAAAGCTGGGTATTTGTAATTTGACCATATCCAATGAATTATAAATACGTTAAAAATGAACTAGAGAATAAATTCCAAACGCATTACAATTTAATACTGAATGTAAAGTTCATCTAACTAAACACTCTGGATTTCTGAAACAGGCATGCAACGCACTTCTTTTGTAGCAAACCAAACCACCCATAAAAAACAGGAACATTCCCAGACATCCTTGTTATTCACTATCTTGGGTATTGAGTGTTACGCAGAACTAAAACATGGTCACATGGTCATTGGTAATATTCCTTGTAGCCAATGCTTTGTAAATGGATATAATGGCTTTCTTTTTGAATTTGCTGAATTGTGAAAAGATTTCCTTTTATGAAATCTACAAACACATGAAGCAATGCCTACTGAATATTTTAGTAGAAGCTCAATGACGGGAGACAAAATTGGACAACTGACGAGCATGAATTATATGCTATAGTGAGAGTTGTACAACATCAGGAATATTACTTAATTCATTAGGAATTCATTTTGGCACGGGTCATCAAGCTCTTAAGTGGTAGAACTCTCACAAGAACGTCTAACATGCACGTGGGATTGAAACTCACATGCCACTTCAAACACCATGCCAAACACTTGAATTGGGCCATCAACACACTGAGCTATAGAGAGAAATTTATGTTATAAACTACTTTTTTTGGTGTCAGCATTCTCCAAGACTTGTATGAAGATGACATCGATTTTCTCAACATTTCAAAACAATGCCAATGACATGCAGCTTTTGACAACTTTTAATATTGAGTGAGGGTTCTTATTTAAGGGAAATCATCTTTGCATCTTAAAGACTTCATTGCATGAATTACTCATTCAAGACTTGCGTGCGGGCAGTCTGGTTGCTCATACCACATCCATCATGATAAAATATAATAATTGTTGAGAATTGATTCTGCTGGCTTTGATTGAACAGGAGCATCTCTAAATTTATGAATTATTTCGGCATATTTTAGTTTCTTAGGTGGAAAGTCAAAACACAAGTCTTTAATTTCATTACCCATCCCATCTAATATTTGGTAGGTTGTTAGTATGAATTTTGTGTTGGGCTTATCAATAACAGCGAAGGATCAACTATGTTTTTGTTATAGTTGACGAAATTTGGAAGATGTCCCACTTTATATCTTGCTGGAAAATCTTTGAAGCAAGTAACATTACCAATTTGTTTTATCAGAAAATAATTAGATCACACAACATCTCCAAAATTATTATCTCTGATCACTAATTTTGTGAATAACTTTTGTTGTATGCTGGGCACAAAAATTGACACCGCCATAGAAATGAGCACTGCATGCCATCCTCAAATCAAAGGACGAACAAAGCTGTCAATTGAGCTCTTGGCTCCCAGATCCAAAGCATAATGGGTTTCTGAAAAAAATTTGAAGACCAAGCTCGAGAACTCACCATAGATAAATGGCTGAACAGATTTGTTGAGGAATTGGCCGAACGGATAATGTGGCTATGCCAAGGCTGTTTCATGGGAGAAGAATCCATCTCTTTCAATCCAGCATTATCTGTTTCGTTTGTGTTCCTCATTAGAAAGCTCGTTCAATAGGTGTTTTTGGTTTTACTTGTTATATAAGTGTTTCACACCCTCCCACATCCAATTTTGGATTAGTTATGCAAATTCAATGCAACAGAGTCGCCACCTTCGATTTTGGTAGAGTTTTGTAAATTATTTTCAGGTTTTTAAGTAAGTTGTGTCGTGCAAATTAATATTAATCTTTCTTTTAATCTCCTACAAATTTACCCTTTTTTTTAGTTCACTATGAAATGTAGCTGCGGACTCTAAACCACTTTAACTATGATGTGCTTCTTACATGCTGACATTTTCACTTCTCATTGTATGGTCTAGTATAAAGGGCACATATATGTATAAGGGAAATGATATCATGATTTTAATTAAACTAAAAAAAAACTTAAAAGTTGCCATTCTTCACTATTTCTGTAGCTTCTATTTTGCACGATATGCATGGCTAAATCAAACATTTTTCTGTTTCTTCCATCTCTGCAGTATTTCTTGTATCAGCTTCTCCGTGGTCTGAAATACATACATTCAGCAAATGTTCTTCACAGGGATTTGAAACCTAGCAACCTCTTGTTGAATGCTAATTGTGATTTGAAGATATGTGATTTTGGTCTTGCTCGTACTACTTCAGAAACTGATTTTATGACAGAGTATGTTGTTACAAGATGGTACCGTGCACCTGAACTTTTGTTGAATTCGTCAGAGTATACTGCAGCAATTGATGTATGGTCAGTTGGGTGCATATTTATGGAACTGATTGACCGGAAGCCGTTATTTCCAGGGAGAGACCATGTGCATCAGCTGCGTCTACTTATGGAGGTAAGATAAACTTGGGCACTTTTTTAAAATTGATTATTAAAATACTTTTTTTTTTTACTTTACTGCAAGGAGCTCATTTTAGTTTTTCCTGCATGGAGCAAAGTTATCTTTTGAATGGGCTTCCAGGCGCTCATGGGTACTATTCAAGGGGCTTTCGAATTTTCATATTTTGTAAAATTTATTTTTTTTCTTCATATTTATTATTATATAAATAAATTATATAGTATCATAATATCTGTATGATATTATGTTATAAATAGTCTTACAATTTTTATTTAATGTAATCTTAATAATTATATATAATGAATATTATAATCTGTAAAATTAGGAAAATGAAATCAATTTAAATTTAATTTTAATATTTAATGAGAAAGGAAATATTTTGTTATTCAGTAATATTAAGGGAGATTTACATATATACCACACAAATCTTATGTATTTATATATCTGACAATCAATGTTTGATATTTGCATTTATAGCACTCTAGTGTCATAATCGCATCAAAACCTATGCATGAAGAGATGTATTTCACTTTCAAGTAGTTAGTAATATTGATATTTTTGATGTGATGTTAAAGATTTGAGTGTTATGTATGATATCAAAGTTTTAGTGTTAAATATGTATATACATAAGAGTTGTGTGTTATATATTTAAATCCCCCTAACATTAATTAACCTTCAATGCTATAGTTATTATTATTTTTATATTTATATATACATATAGTATTACTATTATTAGCAAGAATATTTTATATTTCACTATTAAGTACTTTATGTTTCTACAAAGCACAGGTCAGAACTTTTCTTTGAAGAAGAGCTCGAAGATTAAGTCATACTGGCACTTTATAAACTTTGGGGCTAAAGAGACCCCCTATAATTAGTTAGGGCACTATTTTGACAATTTTTTCTTAGTAGTATTTATTTGGACAGTTCTTAAATTATAATAAACAATTATTATATGATTTTCTAATAGTAATATACATACTCTTATATAATACTTACCATAATTATAATAATATTTTAATAGAAATAATATATTCATGTAATATTATATAAAAGTTTGTAATGCTATAAAATAATATAAATACTATTGCATTATCAAACAAAAATAATAATATTACGCCGTTTAATTAATATAATGTTTATTTTATTTTAAGAATTTAATTACACAAATAAAAAATGATTAAAATATAATAGGAAATTTGCATCAAAATTCCTGCCTTCTACAATCCCTATAAATTCGAAGAAATGAAATATATGCATCAATTGATCATATAAACATGATAAGATTCTATTTTCTATTTTGATACTACTAAATTAAAAAAAAAAAAAAAAAATTGAAATCATTATTCAATGGATTATTTGGCTCCTTAAGAGAGACGAACTCTTCTTGAGATATTTTTTTTAATCCTCATTTTTATAATTATGCTGATAAGTTTGTGATTGAGTACCTTTAACTATTGTTGCCATACTTTCTATGACCAAGAATTTACCTTCACTTCTCCTTATTGTCATTGGAAGGAAATTAAATGATTTTCTGACTCAGGTGTTGTGTTAGAATGTCAATGCTTAGTAACACGTTACAAATATAGTTGCTCCAAAAATGTTGCGCCAAGCCTTTAAAGAGAAGTAGCACATACTTTGACTCTGTTGAACTACTATTTAGTTGCTTGATGAAGAAAATTTTGAGCTTCCAACATAGTTTATTCTGCTGTGTCACTAATTGTTACATACTAGATATTTGTACATATTGATGTTCTAGAATTTATTTGCCACTTGGTGCCTTGAATTTATCTCCATGCTTTTGCTAATAAAATATATATACATATAAACATATATATATATGTATGTATGTATATATATATATATATATATATCTACATATTTATAAACTTACATGGCTACATTTAGGAACTCATGGTATTACCATGCAGCTCATAGGCACTCCTGATGAAGCTGATTTGGGATATATTAATGAAAATGCAAGAAGATACATCAACCAACTTCCTCGTCATATGCGGCAGTCATTTCCTGAGAAGTTTCCACATGTTCATCCATTAGCCATTGATCTCGTCGAAAAGATGTTGACGTTCGATCCTAGAAAAAGAATTACTGGTGAGCTTATTCTCTGTTTTCAGGTTTTTCTCCTTGGCCTCAATCCGCACGACTTAGAAACTGATGTTGATAACTTTACCCCTATTGTACTATTTATATTTCCATTTCTACCTACACTTTATTATTTGGGGACATGCTGAGATTGCAATGTGTTATGTGGGGCTTTAACTTTGTTCAAAATTATGAAATAAATTATTTCAATACCCTTTCTCCCTGCAGTGGAAGAAGCCCTTGCCCACCCATACCTTGCATCACTGCATGATATCAGTGATGAGCCGATCTGCATGGCCCCCTTCAGCTTCGACTTCGAGCAGCATGCACTATCTGAAGAACAGATGAAAGAACTTATTTACCGCGAGGCCCTCGCCTTCAACCCAGAGTACCAGCATCTGTAGGTTTTCATTTTTCACGATTTTTCTCTTAAATTTGCTTTTTTTATCGATCTTTTTCTCTCTCGCTCTTGCATCTACGTAGTATTCGTGGGCGGTACTCTCGTGATATTATGCCACAGTGTATATATTTTTCTCCTCTGTTATTGAATATTTTAAACGTTCATCATAAGCATCATTAGGTAATGTTAGTTTGTTGTGTTGTGTTATATCTGATAAAATGATCATATACATAACATTGGTTACATGTATTAAGTTATGCTTGAATCAATTTAATTCAAATATTTATGATTTGAGAAATATTAATGTAGTTGTTGATAGTGAATATTAAATGTAGTGATTAGTTGGCTCTTAGCTTGGTATGTTTATACCATTTGTCTTGATAGGATTCTATTTTCTACTTGCAAGTAATGTGATGGTTATGTGTAAGTAGGAAAGAATATTATGTACATGATTGTTGGTCTTTGCATTATATTTTTGAGTTCATATGCTATGATTAGGACTCATTAAGTGTACTGTAAATTTTTTTCTTTTGATTATATGAATAAGAAATAAAGAGCATAATATATATATATATATATATAAGCGGATGTCATGCACATCTAAAGGAGATTATAAGACATTTTATTTCCTACTAGCATAAATATGATGAGGTGGCTTGATTAAATGAGTGTAAACAAGTGGTTTACACTTTTTAAAAAGCATGTTTTATATTTTAATTGTCTATGTCTATATTGATTATTTGGAGCATTGACAAACATAACACATTATTTTTATGCATGTACATGTCTAAGACCTATACTTTTATATTGACATGCATAATATTGAAATATGTAATATTACATCAAAAGAACTATTATTTTTTCAAAATAAATAAATAAATAAATAAACATTTTCATGCATACGTTTATGACGAGAAAAAAATTATTAATATAATTTTAGATATTAGATATACAAATACATAGAATTATGGTTTGTATGTAAATTATCCAAATTATTTTGAACAACTATCTTAACGGCATATATCATTAATTATCTTTTATATGTGCATATGTACATTCTATTGTCTAAAGGATTTTGTTTGAGTAGATGCAAAACTAAATACACGAAATGTAATTTTAGTTGTAGTAGCTCTAATGGCAGGGTTGTGACTAAGAAAATTATTAGAAGTCTAATCATTTCAGATATCTTGGGTCTTTTGTTCAAAGTGATAGTGATATGGATGGGGTTGTTATTTGTAGAAATCAGGTTGGTTGGTTGAATAGGATGAATGCATCAGGCTTATTGTATGATAGAAAAGTATTGCTTAGATTCAAAGGAAAACTCTATAAGATGGTGGTAAGACCTGCAATGCTTTTTGGTGTAGAATATTGACCTTTAAAATAAAAACATAAAACAAAGTTAAGTCTTGCTGAGATGTGAATGTTTTGGGGGATGAGTGGCTTGAGACTTAGAGACAAAAACATAAAATGAATCTATCCGTGAAAGATTGGTGTAGCTCCAGTGGCAGACAGGATTAGCGGGAGTCATTTTAGATGGTTTGGTCACATTAAATGTCCCCCATCAGATGATTCAGTTAAGATAGTAGATGTTTTAGGTTCAACTTATGTTACGAAAGGTAGAGATAGACCTATAAAAAATAATCTTAATCTATTAGAATTAAACGAAAATATGACACTCAATAGGACACAATAGAGAAAAAGAATTCATGTAGTCGAGTGCATTTAGGGGGATAAAAACTTGTTGTTGTATACATGCATTCAATTAATAATGTGCATCAAATTTAGTTATTTATATGCTAATATTTGAATTAGTTTAATTTAAAACCTATATAGTGTTAATAAATAATATTTTAATTTAAAGCCAGCCCGACTGGACTAGCTAAGTTGTGAGCCTGCTTTGTTTAAAAAATAATTAATAAAAAATGCCCTTAAATTATATTAAAATTCAATAAATTTTCCTTAAATTATTAAAAATATTTAAAAACAGATATTTTACATTTTATATTAAATAATTTTCTTATTAATTATCTCATAAATTCTCATTCTATTTATCATTTAACTATAACATTAGCTTAAATTAATACCTCTCTCTCTCTCTCTCTCTCATGCTACACAAGTTAGCTCGTATTCATAGAATTAAGCTCGAGCCCGAGTTCAAACTCAATTAATTAATTAAACATCAACTCAAGCTCAAGTCAGTTTTGTTCGAGCTCCTATTTGTATACAAAATTAAAAAAAGACGTAAAATTTAGTTTTTTTTTTCCTCAAAGAAACTCCAAGATTCACATGATAAAATTGTATAGAACAAAGTCCCCATCAAGTACAAAAATTGCAATTTTTAAAACCCTTTTTTTTGTCTTGTTGTGTCCACATTGATCAATATATATATATATATATATATATATATATCCTACAGCTGGAAATCTATTAAATAGAGAAACCAAAATATTTGGATATACTAAATCTACATTTGTTAGAGGTTTATGATGGCAACCGAATGATAAGTGTGTCAATTTGCAAGCCTAAACAATTGCAATTAAAAAAGACTGGGATTCAACTTGTCCGGGTTTGGTGATTTTCCTTTGCTTTAACTTGTTGAAAACTCTATGTGCTTTAAATGAGGTTCTTAAATAATGTTCTTTTCATTTATGACTGGGACCGTATAATGTGAACGTATGAGACTTCTTTGAGAGGAGAAATATTATGTGCGGATTGATGGTATTATTGTGGTATTATGATGATATTATGAGAATACTGCCACAGTACAACTAAATCAGCACCCACGGTGTACGACTGAAAAATAGTTAGTGGTTAACATTAATATGATGCACGAATTTACTTGACATATCTGACATGTAAAGTGTTAACAACTACGCATGTAAATTTTTTTTTAAATATTTATAACGATTTAATGTCATAAATCTTAGCTTTAAAAGGTGTATTTTATGGTTCAAAAAGTAGTCATTGTTGTAATTTTGATGTGGTATATATATAAATATGAAATTGTTGTTGTTATATACATGAATACAAAAGAGTTGTGTGGTGGGTATGTGAGTGGTGAATTTTTAAGTACTCCCAATCATAAATAATTTTATATTTTGTTCTTTTTTTACTTTTCCCTGTTTTATTTTGTTTTGCCTTTACTTTTTATTTTACTTTAAATAAATTGAAATACCTAAAAGTGGCTAAACACGAGTCAACATAAGCGCAGATGAGATTAATGAGCATTTTTCCCATTCCAAACCTGCTAAAACATTCAAGCCATATGAACAAGAACGACAAAAATGAACTTGCCAAGGTTCATCTACTTGGACACACGTCATTCAAGTGTGAGCAACCGAGTACGAGTGGCTGAGTATGAACATATTGAATGTGAATACACGCAGTTCAAGTGTGAGCAACCAAGTACGAATGACTGAGTAAAAATTCTCGGATGTTGGAGAACAGGCGCTCTCTCGCCTACTCCGATAGACAAAGATGATTCATATTGTCTGATTAGCGTGGGTTTGACCCCATCTGACTGTGATAGAATGAGAGTTGGAGCTCTCTATCCACTCAAATTTGAGAACACTTTCTCTAGGTGGATATCTGAAGCCGAAGGGCGTGAGCGCTTCAAGATACTTCTTATTGATGATCATCAAATCAAACACATTTGACCATGTCGCCTCATTCAAATCCACTGGGTCTATTAAGGGTAAATGATGTACTAAAAATGATAACTATTTTTCATGAGACTGAATGAGTCAACTCAGGTGTTTTAACATTTTACCATTAGAAGTAATAAATTTTTTTTTGAGGAATTCAAGAGGATATTTAAAACACAATTCATTGGTGCCCAAAAGCCTCATAAAAGCCCATGGGCATTACTATTAATTTTCCAAGAACTTGCAAAATATTGCAAGCATTCATGGCACCACCAGCTGCAACCAACGGTAAGGTTGAGATTTGACCTTGTTCATTCTAGTAATAAATCAGCATACACGAAAGAAGAATCAGCTCATCTGAGGGGTGAACCCAATACCAAGAAAGTCAAGTAGATCAGATTGGAGGAAAAAACTTCCACCTCCAACCCATCAGATACCACAACAGGCTACTTTGAGAGTGTCCATTGTCGAGACCATAGAGGTTATCCAAAACATAAAAATACTTCCCTGATAAGAAGCCAAGAGGATACCCGTGCAAACTCACAAGGGTATTGTTCTTATCACTGGGACCATGATTACAACATGGAGGAAAGTAATCACCTCTATAGTCTAAATGAGGAATTGATCAAGGAAGAAAAGTTAAAGGAGTCCTTGACACCAAGGGAAGTAATTATAGACAGAGTTAAGCCCCAACCTAGCAGACTCACAATGAACTTGTAAGAATAAGATAGAACCATATAAACACAACCATAAATTTAAAATAAAGACAATTATAATGTACAAAGCAATAGTAAATGAAATATTCAATATATAAGTGCATCTGAATAAAATATACATAACAACAAATATCATCTCACATATAGGATAACAGTGATATAAAAATGAATCCATAGATTTACTCCTCACCAGTCTCCTCATTCTGATCCTCCTCGTCCCTCTTGACCACCATTATTAATTCGTTCCCTTATTGACATGCCTCACATCCTTATTAGCAGAGATGTTGCATTCGACGAGACAAAATTTTTGAAAAATTGGGGCTCAAAGCAGGTGAAGAATTTTACTGAGACCACAAATATGCAGCAAAAAGTTGGAGTTTGATGCAACTTTATTTGTTCCACAAAGTTTGTCTACACGTGCACAGAGGGTATTTATTGATAGTTCTCAAAAGGAGATGGAAGAAGATGTTGAGGATGAAATTATTGGTTAGGAATCTATTGCTAGGAGCAAGACCAAGAGTCAGAATGTCTCAAAACTAGCTTGGTTGAGGGATCACAATGCATTATCAATTTCAACCATAGAGGGAGGTATTCCTTGTCACTACAAATAGGAAGTGGAAAGCCCAAAATGTGATCTTTTGAGAAAAACAATGGATAAAGTGATGGAGTCTCTTCAGAAGAATGATACTTGGAGGTTGGTGCACCTTCCTCCAAGGAGGAAAGTCATTTGCTGCAAATGGGTGCATGCAAAGAAGAAAGAATCTCATAGAGTTGATATGCAGTATAATTCAAGATATTATCAAAAGGCTTTGCACAATGAGAAGATATTGATTATGATGAAGTGTTCTTCCCAACGATCAAGCATTCCTCAATCTGTGTTCTCTTATTACTTGTAGCACAACATGGTTTGATCTTGGAACAACTTGATGTGAAGACTG